AGGGGAGCCCTGATAAGCACGCCTCGCGCTTTGCACGCTTCTGGCGAAGCAGCTGGCGCGCTTTGCGTCCTTCCTTCTTTGTAGCGAGGCTAGTTGTGACCTACTTTTGCAAAGGAGAGGTTTTCCAAGGAACTAGCAAAGGTTGGCAAGGAGTGGTTCGCACGCTACGAGCGCTGCGGCTTCGGTCCGCCACCCTCCCTTGCCTTTTGGTCCCCTATTAAAGGGGAGTCGCCTCCAGCAGCGCCCTGCGGAGCGAGCGAAGCGGAGCGCGGTAGCGGCGCGGACCGACTGATTGATTTAAAAACCCTCGGGTAGCATAGTTCCTTTATGCGTTGCAGCCTACTCTTATATACTACAGACCAAGTAGCAGTAAAATTAAAGGATAGGATAGCCCTAGCTAGAGAATCTTAAAAAAATAACAGACTGCAACGATGTTGACGGGAGCGCTACTGAGTAATTATGATCTTTTAGAGTTAACTTATTATCCTTAAAGAGGAGAGGGACGCAAACCGCGCGTAATATTTTTTTTATAAAAGTATCCTAGTTGTACAAAAATCTAACTTCTTATGCAAAAGATATTGAGGTTAGAGCCCCGCATATTAATCTATGCAAAATTTTTGCTGTAAAGTAAAAAGTACCTGAAAATTAATTTACAGGTTGGTTTTTTTATTTAGTTGCACTCTTATTTAATTTATTCCCTTTCTCTCGGGCAGCACGCGAAGCTTTGATTTAGCATCAGCGGTTAGGAAGCCACGCGCCTCAAGAGTTCGGAAGCTAAAGCAGTAGTTGGACTGCTTTATCATACTGTATATCTTCTCGATCGACTGGGCGCTGCTTTAGCTGTGCTTCGACTTATCTTTTAACAAATAACCTCCCGCGCTTCGGTCCGCACCATGCTGGAGTCGACTCCCCCTTCAAGGGGGGTGGGTGGGGCATCCGTAGCATGGGGAGGCTGGTTAAAGTTAAACTCGTCCTATTTTTATTAAGCTTTCTCCTTTTGACCCTGGCAGGTCTTAGGTAGTTAGCCATTATTTCAATTCAAAAAATAGAAAAACACAAAAATTTTCCCTTTTTTGTGTTTTTCTATTTTGTTTTTACCCTTTTTTTTAGTTTATATTTTTCTATTTATTTTTCGCCTATCTTCTATAATTCTATAATTCTATAATTCTATAATTCTATCTTTTAGCCTGTGAGGCTAACCAGCGCAGCGGTCCTGCGAAGCTGGCGGCCTACGAGCTTCGCCTTCGCTACTTCCGTTCGCAGGCGGCGCTGCTGCTGTCCGCACCTACAGAGCGCTGCTTTACCCTTTATTTATGATCAGCTGACCTCTTCTAATCTTTAAAATTAGCCAGCGGACTATTAATTAACAAGGGTTAACCCCCTTGCTGCTGCTTTAAGTCGCCTTTTTTCAAGTCCTTTTATTACTTTCGAGTAATTGCTTTCTTTAATAATGTGATTAATATTTCAACTTTTCTTAACCTTTTACGCTAGTCAGGGCTGGCAACACACACCAGCTCTCCTCCTAACCTCCCTTAGCGTACCTAGAGCAGGTACGCCCTTGTTAGCAGTCATGTTGCAACATCGCTCGTGCTAAAGCAGAAACCGGTTTAGCCCGAGCGATGGTTGCCTTCGCTGTCCTCTTAGGCTCGTTAGATGTAGAGTGTCACTTTACACCTTGTAGGCAGATAGAGAGTATCAATAATAGATAGCACCTTTAGAAAAAATTTATAATTCATAACTTATAAGTTTTATATTTAGTCAACACTTCCTCGTCGCACTTGCCCTTACCGAGATACGATTTACCTTGCCCCTTTCGAGGGAGCGCTCCGCAGTCGAGGATTCCCTTATGGAACGTAGCCTTCTAGATACGGGAGCTAAAACAGCAAAGGGTCTACCTGAGGGCACTTCTTTAGCAGTCCACAACCAGCTACGCCTGCGGAGCTAAGCACCCCAGCAGCTCACGTTTCAGGGGTATCAGAAAGGGTGCTTTAGCGCGCTGCTTCACCAGCCTCCGCGCGCTACGCGTTGCAGGAGTGGTTCTGCATTAACACAAGACGCGCTCCGCACTCTCCCTTAAAGGGGGTGGAGGAGGACCCCTCCAGGATAATGCAGTCGCGAAGCGCGGCGGGCGTATGTGAACTACAGTGGAAAAGCAGTCCACAGCACCCGGCTAGTGCATACCTCCAGCTCCGCAGCGCTGCGCCTCTAAAGCAGCGAGGCGGCGCGGAGCTGGCTCCTTGTTCGCAAAGAGGGAGGTAAAGGAAGGACTGCAAGCTTTTGAGGCTTTACCTGTCGAATTACATAGTACTTTGGTATTCATTCGCACTGGTCTACCTTTTATTAATTAAGGCCCTTTTTTCAGCAAAGCAACCACTCTCGCCTTCCTCGACACTGCACGCGCGTCGCGACTGCTTTAACACCCCCGGCCGCCTCCGCTGCAAACCTTCAGAGGGGAATAAAGGGATAAGCTAAAAAATATAAGTAAGGTTACAATACAAAGGAAACAGTGGTCTGCAATATAATAAACATAAATTTAAATAAACAGTCGCTGCTCACCCGAAGGGAGCGTAGCGCGCGCTGCGCATCAATCATCAGTTAAAATAAAAAGCAAAAGTTAAAATTTTTATTTTAACGAGGTTAAAAAAACTATAATTTTTTTACAAACGGTCAGCGCTGCTTCCAGGGAAGCAAATAAAGGCGAGCGCATAGCTTCTCTCCGCATGCGCGTAGCTCCAACGGAGCGAAGCGTGTGCCTCGTCCTCTAACTATTTTTAAATTATAACTAGTTAATTTAAAAATAGTTATATTGATTGTTATATAAATTAATCAAATTTAGATTCAAGTAAAAAAAAAAATAAACAGTCGCTGCTCACCCGAAGGGAGCGTAGCGCGCGCTGCGCAACAACGATGTAACGTTACAAGATAATTTGTGCGATACTATATTGCTAGCTGTGCTCTTGTAACTGAAAATAAACTGACTTAGACAGAAGCGAATCTCTAACTAGTAGCTATTAAAAAGAGAGAAAAAAATTCGTAAGCTGCAGCCCTTCGGACCGCAGCGGCTGCAGCGCTCACCCTACACCCACCCTGGAGTGAGATTCAACGCGCCTGGCTCCGCAGTCCTGCTACTCAGAAGGAGGAGGCGACTCCCACCCGCGCTTCGCGACTTAAGGGCAAGAGTTGGGGAGGTACCAAGGGCAAAGGGTAGGCGGCGACCGTGGCCCAGGCAGGCAGGGTAGTTCACTACGCGCGCTCTAAAGCAACAAGGGCTACCCTCTGTAACCTTAAAAGGCTAGAGGGGTGGGGGTGTTCGAAATAATAATAATAAGGGCTGGACATTTTTAAATATACAGACAATTTTAGTTATAGCAATAAAAATAGACCTGGACCAGGGCTGGTCTGTCTATAGTAAAGAAAAATTTTACTCTTAATATTACTTTAATAGTTTCTATTAAAAAAATAAAAAAAAAATGAGAATATTAAAATCTAATGTTTTACTTAGAATTGTTAATTCATATGTAGTAGATTCTCCTCAACCTGCTAATTTATCTTACCTTTGAAATTTTGGTTCACTTCTAGCTGTTTGTTTAATAATTCAAATTTTAACTGGTTGTTTTTTAGCAATGCACTACGTGCCTAATGTGGATTTAGCTTTTAATAGTGTAGAGCATATCATGAGAGACGTTGATAACGGTTACATAATTAGATATACACATGCTAATGTAGCTTCATTTTTCTTTATTTTCGTTTATGCCCACATTGGTAGAGGTTTATGGTACGGTTCATACAGAACACCTAGAATTTTAGTTTGATCTATAGGTGTTATTATTTTAGTTTTAATGATGGCTATCGCTTTCCTGGGTTATGTATTACCTTTTGGTCAAATGAGTTTATGAGGTGCTACTGTTATTACAAACTTATTGTCCGCTATACCTGTCTTTGGACAAGATATCGTTGAGTTAATTTGAGGAGGGTTTTCTGTTTCAAATGCTACACTTAACAGATTTTTTTCACTTCACTATATTTTACCTTTCGTATTAGCAGCTTTAGCTGTTGCACATTTGATTGCTCTACACTTCCACGGTTCAAATAACCCTAATGGTATAACTTCGAGTGGTGATAGATTTGCTATGTATCCTTATTTTATTTTTAAGGATTTAGTTACAATTTTTGCTTTCTTCTTAGTACTATCTATAATGGTTTTCTTTTACCCTAATTTACTAGGTCACAGTGATAACTATATTCCAGCTAACCCTATGGTAACTCCAAGTAGTATTGTACCCGAGTGATATTTATTGCCGTTCTACGCTATTTTAAGATCTATTCCTAACAAACTGTTAGGAGTACTAGCAATGTTTGGGTCATTACTTATTTTATTAATTTTACCTTTTGTAGATTTTTCTAGAACAAGAGGAAATAAAACTTTAAATCCTATTAATATTGCTTTCTTTACCGTTTTTGTATGTAACCTATTTATTTTAGGTTTAGTTGGTTCAAATCACGCTACTGAGCCTTTTATTTTATTAGGACAAGTATGTACGACTATTTATTTCGGTTATTTTTTAATAATAGTTCCCGTTATAAGTATTCTTCAAAATACCTTACTAGATTTAGCTACTATTTATAAAAGCCTATAAAATTTTGGCTTGTGCTTTAGCAACCTGCGCTGCGCCCCGCAGGAGGCAGTGCGCTCCAGCGAAGCGCATAAATCAGTAGGCGCGCTAGTTAGGCAGCACGCGCTACGCGACTGCTGCTACCGCTTCGCTCCTGCGGATTGCAGGCTCGTGCGTTGTACAAACCAAATATAAGAATATTTTTTAAATGAAATTCTAATTAGAATGTAGACTTAATCCCTGTTCATTTTTATTTATTTTATTAGTACCTTCACCGGCCAAAGTTAACTTAATTTAAATATCTACTGTTTGAATTTATTTAATATTAAGTTGCATAAATAAATGAATTTGTCCTACAACATAACATTAACTTGCAGCCGGACTACAAAATCCTGAAAGGTAAGAATTAAGGTAGCACTACCAAGGAGGTAATTTACTGCTTCGTCTACTACCCTTGCCCGCCTTCGGACCGCTGTATACACAGTCGCGAAGCGCATAAAGCATACCGTAGAATCCCCCCCTCGTACCTGCTTCGCTCCGCAGGCGCCCCTCCGCACTCGGTGCGTCCGTCCGCTTGCGGTGGTGAGCGGGCGGGTCGCAAACCTGCGCTGCCCCAGCTTCCGGCCAGGTGCTGTCGCAAAAGGCAGGGCTGGAGGGAACATAGCGTCCCCAAAAGCAGCCTGAGTGGGAGCGAAGGTCTATTTTAGCTGCTGTACGCGAAGCAGCTTGAATGAGGGCGGAGTCGCGAAGCGCGGAGGACTAAGTTTGCAGAGGGAGCTAAAGTGGGAGACAGTGACCAGGAAGGGCACGTACCCTGGCTAAATTTAAAAAGATCAAAGATATCTAAATTATCTAAAGAAAAGATACACAAAATTTTCTAAAATGGCTACTTTAATTTCGGCCTTTCAGCATAGCGCTATTTTTTATTTGATCCTAATACCTGTAGTTGGAGTACTTATAATATTATTTACAAACGTGGAGCAACAAGTGGTAGAAAAAGCCAAGGAGGAACCTATTAGAAAAGATGACAGTGGACTAGCCTTACCTTGGCCGACTAGCGACTCCACAGGAAGTAACCTCAAGGGCAGAGTTTTAGCTAGCGTGTCTGGTTTAAAAAAATTAAATCTTAATTATCAAACACCGTCGTCTTTATTTAATATCGCATTATTCTTTTCATTATTAAATTTATTTGTTTCTATCGTTATGTGATATTTTTTTAATAATTATTCTTCGGTTTTAAGTTCAGAAGTACATAATATGACCACAATTAATAACACAACTCAATTTCAATTTGTATTCGAAATTAATCAATTTAGTTTTGGAGTAGATGGAATATCTATTTTTTTTGTGTTATTGACTACTTTTATTACTCCTATCGCTCTATTTTCAAGTTATGATTTATTTGTTAACAATATTAGTCTTAGTTCCCAGCACCTTAGCAGTCCTAGTATTAATATTAAACAAGATACGAATGGTTTAACAGGAGAAGAACAACTTACTTTTTCTGCTAGTAATTTAGAGGTACACTCACTCTTAAAAAAAGAAAGCACGGCTAAATTAGAAATCAAGGCAAGCGCGAACGCGGCAGGGCTGAGCGAGGATACTATACAGTTAAAAGTTTTTTTAATTTCAATATTATTATTGGAGTCTTTACAAATATGTGCTTTTGTTTCTTTAGATCTATTGCTTTTTTATGTTTTCTTTGAAAGTGTAAAGTGATTAGGGTTATCACTTTTTATGCTTACAACTGCCAAACTCCGGGGAGTCCCTAAAACTTTTGATACCAAACCATAATCGAAAGACTATAAGTGGCTGAAGTAATTACTCAGGTAAGGTAACAATTCAAAAGATGAGTGAAAACTAAATGGGTTACCGCGGATCTAAGTCAAAAAAAATATTTAATGATTTTCTTTTGTAAAAGAGCAACGAGTAGACGGTAGTTATTTTGGTTTTATTGACTGCTTCCTTAGGCTAGTATTAAGCAAAGCTAGCTCGTTCGAATATCAGTCCCGAGTCCTTCGCTGAAGTAAGAGAGAAGGGTGCTGGAGAGCCTCCGGAGGTATAGCGTGCTCCGCTTGTGGACAGCTCGCACTGCTTTAGCATCCTCGCCTGCGCTGCGCGAGGTTCGCGGCTGCCAGGAGGACTGCTTTAGATTACGAAGGCTGGAGGGGCAGTATGCGCCCTGCAATAAGGGTTTAGCTGCACACCTCTTCTTTAGCACGCGCTACGCACCTGCGGACTAGCCGCACCCGAAGGGAGCTTCGCAGCGTACCGATCCCACCTCCGCAGGTTCCTAAAGCAGTACACCGACCCTGCCTGGAGCCTTTCCTCCAGCAGCGTACATTCAGCTTCGCTCCTGCGGACCGAAGGGGAAGCGCGCGCAGTCGCGAAGCGCGTGCGGACCCTTTCCAGTTTCGATCACGGATCTGGACGACGGGCTATACGGCAAGTTGTCAGCCCCGCGGATCACCTGTCGCACGAGCTACGCTACTGCTTCGACCGGAGCGCCAGCAGGCGAAGCAGAGGCGCTGCGATTGCGGGGAATTTAAGCTAAAGCAGCGAGGGTGGAGAGCGAGAGGAAGTATCGATGGGTACAGTCTATTTCTGTACACAGCGCAGGCCAAAATTTAAGGTGTACTCTAATGGGTTGTGAAAACAACTATCCAATCAGCACCCTTTCTATTAAAAAATTTGACTTTTTTATTAAACAATAAGAACAAGTAAAAGAAGTAAAAGAAGGTGAAGAAGTAGGACAGCACCAGGGCTTATATCACCTACACGGTGCAGCCCTGGAGTACAAGACTCCCGCACAGCAAGAGGTACGCGCCAGCCTTGCATGATGCTAATGCAGTCCTCCGATCCAGCCTTGCTTGCTCCTTCTCCAGAAGCGTGTGTACTTACAGCTCCGCTCTGCGGCGGGTGTGGAGCGGCGCTAAAGCAGTGAGGGGCAGCGCACCTTGCGCCCTTCTTTAGCTCCGCACTCCCAGAAGGAGCGTGCTAAAGCAACGCGAGCGCTGCTGCTCGCCCTTCGCCGATTAAGGGTCCAGCCTCCCTGATTTCATTACCCCCCCTCCCGCCGCGCGCTTTGCTCGCTACGCGAGGCGGGGGTAAATCAGGAGCGCTGCCACCCTTTAGGCGAGCCCTTAGGGGAGAGAAGTATAATTTCAAATTAATTTATTAATCCTTACCTGCGTAGAGTCGAAAACGGATAAACAAACTCACTATAAACTAAAAGTAAAAATGCTTATTTTAAAGCCAGCGGCCGCGAGCTAGTAGAGTTCACCTCCGTCAACGTTCGGACTATTGCAATTTGCTAATTGCTAATTATTAATAATTCCTAATTGCTAATTAATAAAATATACGGCGAAACCTCCCCTCCGTCACGTATCTTCCCTGGTTCCGCAGTATGCTTAAGCAGGAGGAGGGGTGCGCTAAAGCTGCTTGCATTCCTAACATATATCTCAGTACTCTGAGGGGGAGGAGGCAAGCGACCTGCGGTGTATCTGTTGCTGGTTTAGCTTTCCTAAAGCGAAAGCCGAGTACGAAGCTAAAGCAGTCCAGGAGAGCACAGCCTTGCTAAAGCAAGACCGTACGGGCCAGATGTAAAAGGTGAAAAGCAATACTCCGCTCCCGCGCTTTGCTCCTGCGGCCAGCACCGCCTTCTCCCTGGTTTACCTGGGCGGGGAAGCAGAGCAGCTACTCCCCTGCAGCGCACTGCGGTCCGCAGGCGCGGAGCGGATGGTGGACAGGTGGTTCTGCTTTATGCGCTTCGCTGCTGCGTACAGTCCCCCCCCTGCTGCAGGTCGGCTAGCCTTGAATGAAACTAAGGTTACTGAGACTTGTTTATTATATTAATAAAAAAAATATTTATTTTTTTTACGATAAAGCTGATCATTTTTATTTTGGTATTGCCGGTATTATTTATTTTAATTGTGGTTTTCGGTCACGGTGAAAATAGATTTAGATCAGCATTTTTATTGTTTTTATATACTTTAGCTGGTAGTTTACCTATGTTACTTTCTATTTTAACTATTTATAATTATTTTAATTCTACTGATTTTCTAACAATTTCTTTTTTTGAAATTAGCTTAGAGAGTCAAAAACTATTATGAATTGGTTTTTTTATTGCTTTAGCTGTTAAAACGCCTTTAGTGCCATTTAGTATTTGGTTACCTAAAGCACATGGTGATAGTCCTTTAGCTGGTTCTATAATATTAGCTGCGACTATATTAAAATTAGCTACATATTTTTATCTTAGAGTTTTAATTAATTATTTACCAGATGCTTCTAATTATTTTAGCCCTATGGTTCAAACTATTGCAATAATTTCTATAATCTATGCTAGTTTTGCTACAATAGTTCAAGAAGATACTAAAAGACTTATTGCTTATTCTTCTGTGGCTCATATGGGAGTTGTTGTTTTAGGTTTATTTTCTAATACTTTACACGGAATAGAAGGAGCTATTTTATTATCTTTAGCTCATGGATGAGTTAGTCCTGCATTATTTATTTGTGTGGGTGGTATTATTTATGATAGAACAGGTACTCGTATTATTTACTATATTAGAGGTTTGGCTAATATGATGCCTATTTTTACAATTATGTTCTTTATTTTTACTTTAGCTAATACTGGTATTCCTTTATCTCTAAATTTTCTAGGAGAACAATTAGCCTTAATGGGTATTTGAGAAATAAACCCTATTGTTGCTGCGTTAGGTGCTTCGGGTATTTTACTTAGTGCATGTTATAGTTTATTTTTAATGAATAGACTTTCTTACGGTGACTACTCACCTTATTTATATCCCGTTAAAGATTTAAATAGAAGAGAGTATCATTTATTATTAACTCTTATGATACCTACTTTTTTCTTTGGGTTATTTCCAAATATAATATTAGATGGGTTACATATGGTAAGTACTAATTTATTATATAATTAATTCTAAATTAAATAACAGGAAGGTGCCCGCCTCCTTCTGCGTAGCTGGATTGCTTTAGCGCCAAGGGAGTAATATGAGTAGAGAACGGTATATGAGTAGAGAGCTCCTTTTGCAGTCGCGAAGCGCGAGCGAACCTCTATTACGTACCTCAACCTGACGCCTCGGGAGACTAGCAAGGGAAGGTATATTTTTATTAATATATAACTCTTGCCCCCTCTCCCACTTATTGCGCCCTTAGTCGAATCTAAGTAATCATAGTTTTTTTATTTTTCAAATATATAAGTTAATTATAATATGGTTACGTTACAATTTATTACTTTTCGGTGAGGCCCTTTGTGGTATTGCTCGAGGGTAACTCTTTGCGGAGTACCTTTTTTACTCTTACGTAGACTTATTTTTTAAGTTATAAATAAATAGGGTCAGCAGCGCGCCTGCGGTCCGCAGGCGCGGACCGAGCGAAGCGCGAAAAGTATTTAATAAATAAGGAGCGGTACTCAGGTGATATATTATATTAATAAAACTCCGGGAGACAACAGATATTTTCTATTATTAATTTAAAGGTTAAAGATAATCTCATTCCTAATTAGTAGTCGCTGCTCTCCACTTGCTTATCGGGAGTGCGTAGCTGGACTGTTTTAGCACTGCAGCTAGGCTGCTTCGCGCCGCTAACTTTCAGGGCTCCTTCGCTACTTTAGCACAGCAGCCCGCTCCGCGGCTGCCCCTGCAGGGGGCAGTGCGCAGCAGCGAAGCGCATAAATCAGGGTCGCGCAAGCACTAAAGAAAGGGATCTCGACTAAAACAGAAACAGGACTGCTGCTCCAACCATGCTATCCTCGCTCCTTTAGCGTGGTAGCGTTGGTTCTGGTTTAGCAGTCCTGCGCCCTGCGGTTAATTTCCTTTATCACTGCAGGCCGCTCCGCAGTCCGCATTCCGCAGTCCGCTGGAGGGAGAAGGGGGGGGGGTGGCGAGGGGGATTTTTATTAGTAGAGTGAGGCAGGGCGCCTAGGCTACACTATCTAGAAGATTAAGTGTATAATTCTTGTCACCAGGCAAGCAGTAGATAGATACGGGGTCGCGAGCGGCAGATGTTTAAGTATTATTTTTAATAGTATTGAATATCTCTTTCGTATTAAACTGTGGAAAGATTAACAGTATAAAGAATAATCTTCTAAATAAATAAAAAAAATATGAAAAATAAAATTAAAATGTTAAATTTTTAAACTCGATTTTACAATAAATGGGAAGTATGATAGGCAAAGCCGAGAAGCAGATTTATTTATATTTTTCTAGGTCTTAAGAAAGGCTATATT